GGTTGAGGAGTCTGATCGGGATTAAGGGCAAAAGCCATGGTGAAGCTTGCTTTGCAATGTATGCAGCTCAATCGTCCAGGAAACATATCCAGGCTTGGTCGAAAGGGGAACGAGCTGTGGGGTTATCAATTTGATGAACTGTGCGAAGATGGCTGGCAACAGCCTTGCGTCCAAGATGCTCAAAACACAGCGGACATTCATGCTCTTGAATGGGAATCGGAATTTCTGTTGTCGTGGCACGAAGTCGATGTGTGATGGTGTCTGCACCAATAGGTCAACCCTTCTTGGCAGGCGGAGGCATATCCACTGTCTGTGCATGAGCCATCTGTGATGGGTGTGCAAACCATTCAAACTCAAGAAACAGGCATGACAGGTAGGGCACTTGTGGAGGGCAGCTTGTGGTCTGTCCTCTGGTACATGGCCAGTGGCATTCAACTGTTCAGCTTCCCCTCCATCGATCTTGGCACGTTTCGTTGCCGGCTCAGGGTGCGGCTCGATGGGTAGGGTCTCTGGGCCTGAGGGCACGGTGGCGGACCAGGGTCGTGTGCGAAGTGGCATGACATGACCGGACATGGCTGCTAATTGGTACATGATCGCACAGGTGTGCTTCCATAGATCAAGGCTTTTGCATTGATACATAGGGCATTGGCCTTTGCCGGAGACCAAATTGGACAGACCACTCACAAAATCATATTGCTGCTTGGCAGGTCCAACAAGCTCAAGGTGGGAATCCGTGTAGTGCCGTATCATGGCTCTGGCATGTACTTGCAAATTACAAAAAGCACATTTCGCAGCCAATTCCGAACACAGGGCTTGGTCCAACATGAGGCCCATGAAGGAGCGGTGTCTGATGTGCATTCTGAGCTCGTCCCGGGCGACGATGGGCTGAACAGTGGCCTGGGCAACATCAAATGCATGGCAGGCTCGCTTATTGATATGGTCTTTAAGGGCATATAGCATGGTGAATTGATGTTTGCAGTGTCTATAGATAGATCTACCTTCAAACGAATCTCTCAGTGGTCGGCAGACATCTTCTGGAAGACATGGGACCTGGTGTTGTCGTCGAAGGTGATTCTTGAGCATCCCCGCCTGTACAATGTGCCTGTGACATTCAGGGTAGGCCAACGAGGTCTGAGGCAGTGGTGGCGTGGGTGGGACATATGCATTCATGTCACATGGCGGATATGCAGGGCTAAGCGTGCAGACATCCGGATGTGGCTCAGCGGGCTCCATCAAGTGCTGGGTTTTGAGTGCCAGAGCGGTGGTCAACTTGCAATGATGTGCTGCAATGTATGTCCATGGAGGTTGAACTTCCAGTCGATTGTAGAAGTCCGTGGTGTTTTCATGTGTGAGATGGATTGGTGAATGATTCATGCGTCTATAGTGAACATTAATCATGTTGACAATTCTTTTACAACATGAAAACGGCAGGTCCATTTCATGAATACCATAGAGGACAGTTAGCACAACACACTGCTAATACAATCGAAAACGGACATGTGCTGGAATGGATTGTGCCTGGAGCCACCGCTTCAGGATCGAGTAGCATTGTTGCGCGGCTTTGATACGACGAGCCGTGGTGTCTGTCTCCCATGCTCTATAACCTATGATCACACCAAGGTACACTGTTTTGGCCACCATCGGCAGTCGAAAAGGTGTGTCCGGGATCACAAGCTGGGGACCTTGTTTGGTCCGGCTGATCCAACGGCGTGTGAACTTAGAGACCCCCTTGCCAACCGCCCTGAAGAGAACAACACTCTTAGTGGTATTGATGTTGAATCCAAAGGAACGAAAGGTGTGCAAAATGTGGGCGAGGTCTCCGAGAGCACTCTGGCCGTCTGCCATGCTGTGCAATGTTCAGCGAAGGTGGACATCGTCTGCGTACCCAATCAGGTGGTCGTGCAGCCATGCATGGGAATACCTCTGGAGGAATTCTTGCATTATGAGACCCATACATAGGGTCCAGAGGATGGGTGCATCCATGGATCCCTGTTTAATCCCTCTCGAAGCGTCGATTGTCCCAATCAAGGATTTGAAGGGAATGTGATACTTATGGGGGGCCAATCAGGTCTATATCATATGAAGAACATCTGGTGGGAGATCTATCTGGTTCAAAGCATGGAGCACGAGGTCTCGGCGGACAGTGTCAAATGCCTTTTCCATGTCCAATGAGACCTGGAGGCCTCCGAACAGACCTTGAGGGTGTGCATCCATTTGTCGATCACGATAAAGCTGGCGAATTTGCTGGCAGTGCTGTGAGACTCGAAGGAGACACTCAATGATGCCTCTCTGCGGGTGGTTAAAATCTTGGATACAACTTTGAGAACCGGGTGCTGGAGACAAATGGGTCTCAGTGCCGCAGGCTGTGTGCTGGATTTACCTGGTTTAGGAATTAAGTGCAATTATCCGGCTAGCCAGTGACTAGGTGGTGCCACTTGCTCTGCACACCAGTAGTGTTCTATGGCTGCATAGATCGGACCCGCGAGCTCTGGTGCAAGGTGTCGCCAAATGATGGCGGGCATGCAGGGTGGAGCCAAGGCTTTCATAGCTGGTAAGTGGAGAAAGTCCTGCAACACATCTTCCTGGGTAAAAGGAAATATTTGGAGGGAAACATTACCAGGGTATTGAAAGGAAGTGTCCTGAAACAGCTGGCCAAAGAACTGTTCTATGCGTTGGAATTCAAATGATGGGGTGAATGGTTGTCCATGATCATCATACATCTGGATCTTCTGAGGATGTTGCTTTGGGCACAATTTGCGGACCTTGCGAAATCAATCGTACGTCTGATGATGCATGGCCAAGTCAGCACTTTCCTTAAGGAAGTCTTCAAGCTTCTGTCGTTTGTTCTGGCGGCTGAATCGGCGAACTTTCTTGTGGTACCTACGAAATAAAGCAAGGTGCTTCCAGGCCGTAAAACGAGAAGCGAGCAACCGATCAGTCAGTGCTCTCACGACTTTTCTGGCCTGCCACATGCGGGCAGTGATGGAAGCAAGCGGGTTGCATGCGACTGATATAGAGGTCTGTTTGGGAAACCAAGACTTACACAGGTCGATCAATGTATTTTCAAGTTGAGGAAATAAGGATGGTTCATTGGCAATGATCGATTGCAAGTGTTATCTGGTCTCCCAACAAAATCCCTGCCAGCGCTGGGTGTTCTGTTTCATGTCCTGTCGAATACGGTGGCGGTCAAATAGGACGAGCGGTTTGGGTCGGGGTCCTGGGTACCATTTGGGAATGGTCTAAGTCAGCGGATGATGATGTGGGCCGAGGAGGCCAAAATTGAAAACGAAATCTGTGAGCAATTGGGGTGCAATTAAGGGCCAACTAATCTGCTGTTTTCGCATCAAAGCAAAATCAATCCGATTGAAGTGAGTGCCATGCTTAAAAGTCGGCCGAAACTCATCACGACAGTGAAGTGCAACTAGTTCGAACTGCTGGATCAAATTAGAAAACATCTGTTTGTCTCTCTGTGCCCTTGTAGATATTTAAGATCGGCGGTGTGCACTTTACAAAGCAGGTGAGGGAATGGAGTGTCAAAATCACCACATCCTATGACCTGATTGTTATGAGGCAGGCATTCAAGACAATGTTACAAGAGAATCCACACATGCTGCCGTTTCGAAAGGATCTGACGTATGCCATATTGCATGGACCAGGCCTGTTGGTAAACGATCACGAAATCATGTGGGCGGTGAAGGATCAATCGTTCCTAAAGTAGGTGGCCATGAATATAGGGGGCTATCGAAATGTAATCCTATCGAACAAGTACTAAAAACACCATAAAACAAAATAGATGCAAATCGATCTATTAAGTGCACTATGTGCCAATGCTTCGTGCTCCACTCATTGGTCATGGATCATCCGGATTCCTAGATAGCGATAATATCATAGGGGTTATTATTACTCCATTGCAACCATAAATGGTATTCAATCGAGCGGGAAGTGTTCCATTAAAACATTCGAAGCTGTCCGGGTCCAGGGGATAAGCGGTATTAGTGCAGGTTTAATTATACAAGGTTAAGGAGTATTTGCAAATATATGTTATTTAATGCGAAAAGAAATTTAATAAAAATAATTCTATTTTCCTATAAATGTAGCATATCCTTCCCTCAAGGTTTTAATATAAGAACGCTTTAATTGCATTTTGCAGGAGTATTTGAAAGATTTCATTCAAAATTGCTCCCATCCATCCTAAGCCGGATAAATAATCCTCGCGCCGAATCCTCGAAATTCAAAATAGCTGCATAAAAATAACTAAACGAAAATTCAACTCAAATACGATCGAAATAAAACGCCGCCCCGCGAATCCCAAATCACGCACTACTCTTAATCTAAAATAATTCTTAAATTAAAATAGCGCTTATTTAAAAAACATATATATCCTTTTAAATATAAATTCGATATATAATTTTTTTTCATTAATTATTAAAATAAATATTTCAAAATATATAAAATATAAAACATTTATAATATATAATTTATTCTAATATATATATTAACTACATAATATTCATTAATAAATATTATATAAAAAAAACATAATTCATTAATACAAATATATATATTATTTTAAATATCACATAATCTAAATATATCTTTAATTATATCGATATCAACATTTCCTACAATAATTATTATAATCAATTCAATATACGATATATATATATATATATCGAATTATTTCCATGATATGTCAATCGTTTATTTTCATACCATTGGGAGGAACATATTGTCATAGTCGATATGTGTGATTGTGTTTGTGAATATGTGTTTGTGATTATATATTTGTGGATGTATTTGTGGTTGTGTGTTTGTGAGGGTATTTGTGATCATGTTTGTGTGTTGTTTGAGGCCCGGTTGTGCCTCCTTCCTTCCTTCCTTCCTTCCTTCCTTCCTTCCTTCCTTCCTTCCTATTATTTGTAGCATGTAAATGCACGACAACAATCAAATAAATAAGGTATGTCAACGTCAAGGGATGTTATAGCCATAGCTAATTTTTTGAACATAGATTTGATTCACTAAGCAACGGCTCGATTCAATTCCAATGCCATGTCATTGGGAGAAGTAATGTCTCTCAAACGACGCGACAGTTTGCAGTACCGAATCAATAGAAGCACAAGAAGAACGGCAAGGACAATGGTCGATGCCATGAAGATCTTGGTGTTGAGGTCCATATGTGGTTTCCTGTGCCAAGAATCATCCAGGAATGCCTGCTTCTTTGTGTTTTGGTTGTTTCGTCGAGTCTACACAATCTTGAAAGCAAAACAATGTGACCGCTTTTGCGGTATTGAATCGAACAGAATCAGCGCTGTGTGTGTGTCTGTAGTGTTCTGTCCTGTCTGGCACTTGCTTCACTCTTGCGCCCTGTTCTGCTAGAAGTCGAAGCATATCTCCCAGCCGGTAGCCGCCCAGCACAATCTGCCGACGCGACATCTCCTGGAGAAAGCTTCCAAGGCCTCCTTCACTTTTAAGCTCCGAAGAGCTTGGCGATTACCCACTATCTAAGTGGGAGAAGGGATTGATGACTCAGGTATGGAAATGGGAAGTTGATATGTTTTTGTAGCAGTTTCCTACAGAAAGGCATTAGCAAATCTTTTGCTCGAGTTTCCTTGTGACAACCATGACCTTCCTATATCTCTCGATCTTTTTTTGCCCTGTCTGCTCTGTCCGTTCAAGTATATACATCGTGGATAACTGCAGATGTGACTCGAATTCAGCATAAGTTTTCCAAAAGCAAACCATGTCCAGTGCCTTGGCCCAGACAGCATAGTCGTCTGGAATCATGGAATTTCTGGTAATGCCACCGTAAGCACCTCTTGGGGCAGGACTTCACCACCACCTTTCTATGGGAGCCAGGAAACCAACTCACTAAAGGCTGGCAGCCTTCGCCTTGTAGGCCAAATGAACATGGTCATGTGAATGCAAGAGCTCATTGCCCTTATAATTTATCATTATTCATACCCTACCGTTCAAGCTTCAAGACGATCAAGAAGGCCTTTCAAACCTTTCAGCTAGGACCGGGCAGGATGATGGCCCTTTCAATCAATATTTTACTTGGTGGTCCGCCCAGGGACGCCTGGCACCCCAGTATCAAAAGTGTCATTGACCCAGCGCACGAAGACTTGCTGACCTGATCCAAGTGAAGAAATGGCCCGGAAAATATTCAAGGACTTACTCTCCCCAAATCAAACGCATCCCCCTAAAGTGGATTTTATTCTTTTTAGACCACATTATATAGTCGACAGATGCTGAAAGGGCACAACTGGTGTCTGTGAGGAGGATATGTTAGCAACAGTCTGCAGGGATAAGTATTGCACATCCTCCAACATGGACACGGCCATATTAGTTAAGCATGAAAAAAAGTTCCATGACCCATGCCCTGTGACACGGCAATGTTATTTTGTTTTTGGCACGTGCAAAGACCAACATAGCCCTCCAAAATTGGCATTGAGTCTTCCAGAATGGCAACATTCTTAGTGGCAAGGACTAACATAGCCCTCTAAAATGGTCACGTGGTTGACCAAAATTGCAAACTTTATGGTTGCCCCAGGCCAGGTTAGCAGTGTTTTGGGCCTTTTCTTGAAGCTACCGCAAAGCAGAAGTTACATGCAATTCCCCAGGAAACACCGGAGAGGTTTTGGATATGTTAGTTGGGGTCTTCAGTGCTGCCAGGGCTACGTTTGATTTGGGGAGTGTAGCACCTGAGGTCGAAGGACTTAGCACCCCAAGAGTATGGTCTTGATCCATTGCTTTGTTTACGTTTGCGCGCAATCTGCAAGGAGCTAGTGCTAGCAAGTACTTGGTTGCTTTGGGGCAGAACCAGCTGTAAGGTTCAGACAGCTTATTTTTTTGTAGTGAAGCAACCTGTTTGAGTGTCAGCTGCCCAAAGCTTGGATTAACTGAGCCCGTGACTGACAAAGCAGCATAAATTAAGAACATATCTTCACCTATCCTGAAAAATATCTTGGGACCAGCTACAACGACCTACTTGAATGCGGATAGCGTATGTTTCGTGCAAATATGTTCCAGCCTTCTTGGATAATTGGATAATTCCTTCCTGCCTAGCGGAGCCCTAGGATCTTCAGATGCCTTGAAGGGTTATATAATGCTTTCCAACTGAAGCTTGCCAGTGAAACTTCTAACTTATCTTGGAATCTCGTGTCCTGAATGCTGAATGCTTGTGATCTTTTTCAATTTGTCCAGGTTTAGGCTGCACGCTCATAAAACTGTATATATATATATATTATATATGTATGTATGTAACACACACATTATACAATTATTTAGATTGATTTGATCTGACTCTAGTTACCCTAGCTGCCCTAGCTGCAGGGTTGTTGGTAGAAGTTTGGGATATGTTTGTTTACAGCAGTGTGTTTCACAGTAGGTCAGTAGGCCAGAAAACATGTTTTGGAGCTATCATCCTTACTGTTGAACGGTTGAATTGTGCCCGGCTGGCGGTTACAAGTACTTGGCGTGATGGAACTGGTTGGCAGGGCCTATTCTTTTCGCATTGCTTGTATTGAAGGGTTGCCTTTCTAGTGCAGTGCAGTGGACGCAGTATTGCTGCATCCTACTACAGCTTCTACTTGCTTGAGTTGTGAAGAATCTTGCCCAGCATTACCAAGTACTTCTGAGAAGAAGCATTCATTCTCAAGGTTCAATATCATTGGCAAAAATGACCCAAACATACAATGCGCATGAACTACTTAAATACCAGCGCCACCAAAACCTGCTTCTTATGATGCGAACATGCCGTCTCTCTCTCTCTCTCTCTCCCTCCCTCTCGCCAGTCCAAATCATTCACCAGAAAATGTTGCTATGCATGCTTCGTTGCAAATATCAAAGACACCGGAGGGCTTCGATTTGTTCTGCCTGCAAACATCCAGAAGCGGTTGAAATCTATTGAAACCATAACCCTGAACCCTCCATCATTTCTTGTACAGTCAAATGTCCATGATGATGATGAAAGTATACGATGACGGACGACCACAGCGCTAACGCCCAAGGCATGACATCTATGATTGACCTATGTGGACACTATTTGCCAACAAACCTATTCCGTACAGCAAACGTTTGGAGCAAACCTATGCCTTCAAAGCCACATGTCCTCTTTTGCTCAGTGATGTCTTTATATTCACATCGTCGCCACTGTATCTTCTGTCAGATTCTCTATGTCATTCTACAGCTTCTTCCGACGAGCACACCTATATATACAGTGCTTTGTGCTCTTCCGGAACAGTACTGATTGATGGGCGAGTAACTTTTTCAATACCAGTGGGCCCATCGCCCAAGAATACTAGTAGCATGGGTTGGGTTGTAGCGCAGCTTCTTATTCCGTCCTCTTTGCATGTCACAACCTCAGGACTTATAGCTATAGTTCTTCAGACAAAGGTGACGCCTTGAAGTGTCCGCAAGAAAGCCTAAACATGGTTTTCACGCCAAACAATCCATAGTTAATGTAACCTCATCTTACCATGTCACTCAAACGGAAGAAATGAAACGGCTCAAAAACAGGAATACAGTACCAATACTACCAACGGTTATTTGCTTGCAGCCAAGCACCTGCAGCAAGCCGAAAAGAAAGCAGGACAATGCATATCAACAATATACAATATACTATAGTCTGACCGTGATAAGAATTGCGGCATTGCGAAGCATTTCTCCCCCAAGCGTTCACCCCACAACTGGCCGAGTCTCAACTGAGTCCAGCAGGCTTTCAGGTGTTCCGGGTCGTAGCGCGTCCCAAAGCTTGAAGGCCTCGGTGGGAATTGCCAAGTAACCCGCAGAGTTCTCCAAGACTTCTCCGCTGGAAGCAAGGACGGTACTAGGTGCTCCTGGCCTTACTACTAGGAATAAGGACACTACTAGGAGCAAAGGGCATCGCTACTAGGAGCAAGGACGCAACTAGGTGCACAACTTCCACAACTTGCGTTTATTGCATGCCGCATGTGGTGCTCAGTAGTTCCATTGGCTTTTCAGTTGGGGTAGAGGTCATGCAGTGAGGCAAGCAACTTCAAACTCATCTACTGTATTGTCTTGTCGTCTACTGTAGCCTCATCCAAGGCAAACTGCCCTGGTCTACGGCCATCAATGCTGCTGCAATCCACTTACCACGGCTTCTCAATCGTCTTGTGTCCCGGGCCTGCTTGGAATGTCGTGGCTAGATCTAGATCTGCCAAGCTCCCTGACATGAGCTGAATCATTTCCTCATATTTCGCATCCCGAGAAACGGATACTTCGTGATCAAATCGCTGGCATTCTGGGTCAGTGCTTCTCGATGATCCTCAGGTGTCAGTACAAGGAACATTCACCCAGTACTGCCCAACTCAAGCGATTTCTTGCGAAGCCAAACTCAACTTCAATATGTTTGAGAAGGCTTCAACACTCCAAAGCTTCACATTTTTTTGAGCCAAAGGATGGTTTACCTAAGTCACATCGGTCTCCGGCCTGGTAATGAGGCGACCAGTTCACCAGGTATTGGCAAGCAGCAGAGTCCCAGTAGAAATGCAAATTGTTGGCACCACAGTCGCTGATGACGGGGATCCTGCTTGGATTGGCTAAAGGAATCCGCTGTTCTTTGATTGATTTTTAGGCTTAAGTAGCTAGTAGCAAGGTCAAAGGAAGCTAGTAGTCACAAGGAAGCTACTCGGCTGGGACGCAAAAGAGCTCAGGTTTCCTTGAAGAACCTCATGCACCGATTTGGTTCCTAGGAACAAAGGGCATCGCTACTAGGAACAAGGACGCTACTAGGGGCTCCTGGCCGTACCACTAGGAGCATCCTTACTACTAGTAACAAAAAGCTTTTAGGGAAACTTGACTTTGGAGGTGTTCTACTTCTTCCACATACTGGTGCTTCATGGCTGTACTCCTGTCCACGACAGTCATGACACACAACTACGCTCTTCTTCTTCTTCTTCTTTACAACTTGTGAGAATCTACTACTCCATCCAGGATCCTTCTTTGTTAATCTCAAGGGCTAAGCTTTTTGGACCTGTTTGGCGAGGAGACCTCAAGTGGATCCTGCAAAAAGCGAGACATTCAATGTCCATCACACATCTTCTTTACAAGTGCTACAATACAATATATGTCGAAAGCTCAAATTCGCAACAAACCTCTCGTTGTTGTACCTGGCTGTGTTCGTTGCGATGGTCGACCGTGTTTGTTGTCTTGTTTGTGGTGTGGTTGGTCTTGCGGCCCTGTGGCCATAGCCGTTGTCATAGCTGGCACTTTGTCTATGCCATGGCTAGCTGTACAAACAGCATGATTCCAGGAATTTGTCCGAAATCAGTGTTGCAACTCTTTTGTCCATCAAACCCGCCGGTCAGGTTGCCACCACGATCACCTTGCGGCAAATGACCCAAACGGGCGTCATCAAAGTAGCCATCAGCTGAATGCAAGGGCTGATGGATATCACCTGGAACCGGGTTGTGCACAGTGTGCTTCATTGTGTGACACATAACTGGAGAAGAAGAAAACGGAGAGGTTAAAGGGGGCCTTACATTCCTTTGTCCTTTTCTTTTTCTTTGTTTCTAATTGCGATGGCCTCCAACCTGTAGCGATGGCCTCCAACCTAGAAAGAAGTGGCCTTACCTTCCTTTTTCATATCTTTGTTTTCTTTTCCAGTTGTTCTATGTTATCCTGCTGTCCAGCGGCCCACCAGGTGGATGACCTCAGATTTGCACTGGCGTGCAGCGAACTGCATTGCCTGTGCAGTCTTCCTCTCCATGATGTCTTGGGACAGTGAATATATAAATACCCGGTTGAAATACCCATGGCTTTTGAACATGAATAGCCTGCAATTGGCTCAAGCAAACAGCTGTCACCCAAGCCCATATTATGTGAAACCCTGGAAGCTGGAAGGCTACCAGCAATGTCAAAGCGCCCATCGCAGCATGAAGTTGAAGGCGAAACGGGAGTTCGAAGTTCCTTGGCTAGCATCCTGCTGAGTGGGTGTGAATGCCCATCAAATTCACGCCTTGATTCACAGACCCAAACAATGAGCCAATCAGCATCTCAACTTTGGAACTGCACGTCAGTGAGGAGCGAAGTGCATTGCAATACTGCAAGTGGAATGCGGGCCAATCTTCAACAGTATTCTGCTGCCAGGCCTCCCATGGAAGTGATCGCCGAAGTTAGAGTGAAGGAAGCAGATGGATTGGGCAGCCATTGATCAGCGCAATGCGGAAGGGTCAAATTCTGTGGATTGTAGGGCTTCTCCTCTGCTCGGCAGGCTTAGGACCCGGAAAGTTTCAAATGAAGCACAATGAAGCATTACAGTATTACAGTAACATAAAAGGACAAAGGACATGTGTCAAAGACCGGACACTTTTTAAATTAGCAGGTTGTCAAGGTGTTCACCGCTGCAGGTATGCATACCTGGAAAGTGACAAGTTGTGACAAGTGCTTTAATACCGTTTCGCAGTGAACACGAAGGATTGACATGTGAATCATCATCACAAGCATGCTCTGAAGCTTCAATTCCAACATGTGCACTTACTTGAAGCCAAATATATTTGTTGTGTATGCCTGCCTGTACATACAGTTGATTATTGTGGTTATGCAAAGCTTTGCCAGTTCCACAAACTCGCACTGACGACAACCAAAATTTGCTGCCAGGTCTCATCAAAATGCCAGGGATCAAAAATGTGTATGTTCTCCATCACAGCCTCAAACCGCAACTCTGACTATGCCACGCGGTGACAAACATTTTGAGACATTAGGAAGAATGCGAGTGTTAAGTTCCCCGTGAAGATCATGGCAGCTACATGGCGGACACTTTAACCCTTGCAACCGACTAAGGTCCTGAAACTCTGAAACATGGTGTGTCAGTGCAGCAAAAAGATTGGTTAGTGAAAACAGTCCTACTTGGTCCTACTGAGTACATAATAAACAGTGTTGTTTGTGCGCCGCACAACCGGTGGATCTAGCATGTGCACTGAGTTTCCCGTGTGCTCGCCTCAAGATCAGGGCGGGCGCGCGCTTTACGATCGAGCAATGGCGGACTGAAAGGACGCGTGGCCGCGTCGACCGAACTCACGATCGAGGACCTCGTGAACCTCGAACCCGGTGACAGAAGCTTCGTTACCAACATTGGTAGCGGAGCGCTACCAGGGCGCTCCAAGAAGAAGAGACGATGCCAGGACCTTCAGCCTCCGGTCCCTCTACTACCTCCTCAGCTTCAGGTGGGTCCATCGAGACGATGAAGGACACCTACATCCCGGTTTTCAACAACCGAGTGGCTGACTACAAGGAGTGGAGGCAGCGCATCGTCCTCTACAAGAAGAAACTGGCCCTTCAAGGAAAAGAGAAGGAGTCGATCTTGAACCTTCTCACAAGCCTCCAAGGCACAGCATGGAAGCAGGTCGAACACCTCGTCGAGAAAGTGGCCGAGGCCTCCGACGGCTTTGAGCAGGCGCTGAAAGCATTGGATGCTGCCTTTCAGTACGATGATCGGGTAGAAATGCCCAGAGCTCTCGAGAAGTTTTTCTATCAACTGACGAGGAGGAGCGACCAAACACTCCTATCTTACTGCTCAGACCACAGAGAGCAGCTTCGAGAAATCGAACGCCACAACATCCACATCCCAGACAGTGTCAGTGGCTGGATGCTTCTTCGACGGAGCAACTTGACGCAAGAACAGAAGCACTTAATCCAGTCGCAGGTTGGCCCCGAGATGAAGATGGCGAAGGTGGAAGAGGTCATGTACTACCTGCTGGGACAAGACTTCAAGTCAAGGTCAGAGCAGCCAAAGATCTGGAACAAGCATGTCAAGGATGACGACGATCTCGAGGAGACCTACGTTCAGGCCGACGAGGAGCTCTATGAAGAGGATGCCACCTATGAGGACTAGGAGGATGACGGTGCCTTTGGTGGCCAGGATGAGGAGCTCTACTACACGGAAGAGCCCTGGCCAGAGGAGTCGGACCCGGCTCTTGAAGAAGCCTACGCAGCCTACCTTGATGCTCGTCGGCAATTTGCCAATCTCCGTGCTGCAAGAGGTTTCTACCCAGTGGTGGCACTGTCGAACCCGTCTGACATGCCTGGATCATCTTCGTCCTCAATGACTACTTCCCATAGGCCAGTGACCAAAGGTTCAAAAGGGAAGAAAGGAAAAGGAAAGGGGAAGCCACCACCCCAAAAGGGAACTGCTTTGAACAGAGGACGAACTGCCCTAGACTCCATGCAGTGTTTCAAGTGCGGACGTTTCGGGCATGCAGCAGCTGAGTGTCCAATGAACAAGACCTCGCAATCTCAAGCGGGCCAATTGACCGAGACCACCGCCAAGACCTCAGGACAAGCCTTCATGATGCATGACCTCAGCCGAAAAGGGACCCCGCAACTCTCTGAGCAAGGCTGGTTTGGTTTGCAGGATGGTGGAGCCAGCAGCATGGTGTGCGGGCATGAGACTCTCATGAACATCATCGAGCACGTGAACCAGCGTGGTGTGCCCTTGGAGAGATATACCTTCCATCCAACCACGAAGATGTTTGGCTTTGGGGGTGATGCCATGAGGAAGGCAGAGTGGACCGTAAAGCTTCCGGTCTACGTGGATGGTCAGTCAGGCATGATCGAGTGCTTCCTGGTGGGCGGCGCTACGCCTTTGCTTGTTGGACGACCCATCCTCAAATCATTGAAGGTGAAGGTGGACTGGGACAAGGATCTCATCTCCTACGGCGACCAGGCTTGGAAGCCGGCCATCAAGGGCGACCGTGGTGAGTACCTCCTCAGGTTGGACGAGGGAGTGCAAGGTGACCCACAACGGACAGGAACGATGCATTCCTCCACCTACACGCTCCTTCAGTACCTTGAGGCCACTGGGCGAGATCCACCGGAGCACTACCTTCAGGTTGATGGAGACCCCTACCAGGATAACCTCACGGATGATGATGAACCTGTGATGAATCAACAACCTCAAGGACAAAACGATGAACAGGTGGCTGAAGTGCGAAAAGAGATCACCGACAAACTCCTCCGAGGCATTCGCTTTCATCGCGCAACAATGTTTGCCCATCGTCGATCAGTGTTGGAGCAAGGACTACGTGCCCATGAAGAAGGAGCCAAGGTGTTTTGGGAAGTTTACTCAGGTGAAGCCAGTTTATCCTTGGAGATGCAGAGAAGAGGCTATCTGGTGTATAGCTTTGGAAGATGTGGCACCAGACTTTGTGTGGTTGGCTCCAGCGTGCAAGAAGTGGTCCAAGATGCAAGCTCTCAACGCCTTGACCCCAGAGCAGGAGTTCGCCTTGAGATGTGAACAGGACTATGAGGAAGCAGTCCATTTGAAATTGGCAGAACGCACCTTCGTGATCCAATACAATGAAGGAAGAGATGGAGCCATTGAGCACCCAGCACGATCCAAAGTGTGGTCAACGAAGACGTGGTCTAACCTTCCTGGCTGGCCATGTCGATTGGATCAGTGTGCCTACGGGACCAAAATCGCCGACCAGTATGTGAAGAAGCCCACAAGGTTGCAGCTCAAGTGCTTCCATGGCAGACTACCTGGCTTGGAGATGTCCCAGAGATCATGAACACCTACCTCTAGAAGGGTCCTTGCCGGGAATTGGTTCATTGACCAAAGCTGCCGGAGCCTACCAGACGACCTTCTGCTACGACATTGGTGCGGCAATCGACTGCCTCTTCTATGAGCCTGAGGAATTTGCCCTGGAGGGTGGAGAATGGGAAATTGAAGACATGGGAGAGTACACTCCTTCCGTGGCAGGAACCGAACAACGAGAACCAGATGAGCCCAATCACGAACCTGCACCTCCAGTAGACTCCGATGTCAGAGTGCAAAGCTACAAGGCTACTGGAGTACTTCAACGACTACAACGACAAGACCGCCAGCTAGCCAAGCGAACAGTGAGTCGACTCCACAGGAATCTTGGACATCCGACCAATGCAGAGCTCAAGCGACTCTTGGAGATGACAGGGGCCTCCAGCGTTCTTGTCGAATGTGTCCAAGAACATGACTGTGATGTGTGTCGTCAGCAGCAACATCGACCACAAGTACCAGTCTCCTCAGTGCCAAGTGTTCAAGAGTTCAACGCCAGGGTCCAAGCTGACACCCTTTGGATCAAGATTCCAAACATGAAGAAAGCTCTTCCCATCCTGATGATCAGCGACACAGCAACGCGTTTCTTGGCTGGACGAGTGATTTGGAAGGAATCACCAGAGGATGCCAAACCTCAAGACTCACAGAACAACAATGAAGAAAATGAAGCACCAACAGATGATCCGGCAGCACCGAGCAATGAAGCAGCACCACAAGAAATGCCTCCAGCACCTGTGCCGGAACATCAAAAGAGGCTTTATGAACCCACTGTCAATGAGAGCTTCAGAAACCTTCAGAAACCAGAGAAGCAGAGTGGACAAACAAGAGACACTGTCCTTTCTGAAGAAGCCAACGGTGTATGGACCCATGAAGTCAGAGACTGCCCGGTCAACGCCTTACGATCAGGTGGCCACAGAGGACATGAACATGCAGATTGAGGTGGATGTTCAAAAGATTGATGACCTACCACCAGGTTGGCACCTTGAAAATGGATGGCTCTGCTTAGATAGCCCCGAAGACGAGTGGGTCCTGGAAGGGAACTGGCTCATCAGGAACCACTATGTTCCAAGAAAGGAGGCCGATCGCCCATCGGACGAGGAATGCCCCATTGACCTCAATTACCTGGTCAAGGAGCGAGTTTCGAGCACGTCACACGGCACCTTCAAGGACCGATGGAAGAGGCACAGCCGAAACCCACTCATCGAGGAGGCCTACTGGACGGGACAAAGTAAGTTCAAGATCAAGCACAACTGGCGGGAACAGGCACAACAAGACTACAAGAAAGCCAGCAACGGGTACAAGATCCTGAGAACACCTTCAGACAAGATTGCCAAGAAGAAGAAGGGCAAGGACGAGGTGTTCGAGAGGTACATGAGTGTGGCAGACCGCCAGGCCTTCATCCAGGCGAAGATCAAAGAGCTGGAGAGTTTCTTCAAGAATGAAGTATGGCTCTATGATGAGGAGAAGAACGCAGACCCAGAGCGAATCCTCAAGGCCCACTTCATTTTGACTTGGAAGAAGAATGAGGATGGCACTCCAAGAGCAAAGGCAAGACTCATCACACAGGGCTTCAAAGACCCAGATGCACTTTCCGGAGCTTTGTCCACAAATGCCCCAACATTGACCAGACTGGCAAGAGGCCTGGTACTATGCATTTGCCAACTTTACAAATGGCACATGTTCACCTCGGACATCACGACAGCCTTCTTGCAGGGCAAGAACTTTGACAAGGACTCCAATCGAGTGATCTGGATCAGATTGCCACGTGACGCCAAACAGCTTCTTGGCATGTCACCTGAGGAACCAACTTTGATGAGATTGGTGAAGCCAATGTATGGACTATGTGATGCTCCCCGTGCATGGTACGAAGACGCAACAGAACGCATTCTTCGAGTTGGCGCAGGCAACATCCAGAGACACCCACTGGACCCATGCCTCTTCATGGTCTATCGACCTTTGGACCCAGATCAAGTGATGGATCCAACGGTGGAGCGAGAGTTGGCCTGCATCTTTGGCATTCATGTTGATGATCTTGTTAGTTGCGGTGATCTGCAAGATCCCTACTTCCTTGAGGTCAAAGAGAAGCTCAAGAATGTCTTCACGTTCCGTGAGTGGCAAGAGGGCAACAACCTTGAGTACTGTGGAAGCCAAATCAAGAGTCTGGAATTTCCCAACTGGCTGGCGAGACTTCAAAGGCAACAGTGGCGACACTTCAGAAAGGCAATAAGCACTTGCGCTATGCCAAGGAGTATGCCGACGTGGGACTCCAGTACAGATGTCTTGGAGCCAAAGAAGACATGACCTTCATCGCCTACAGTGATGCTTCCTTTGCAACAAGATCAGACTTGAGCAGCCAAGGTGGATACCTCCTGGCTATGTGCCACAAGGACGTCGCCAACGGCAAGTGTGAAGGGCATTACAATGTGATCGATTGGAGAAGCTGGAAATTACCACGTGTGTCAAGAAGCACGCTCTCAGCAGAGTCTCAGGCAGCAAGCGAAGCCGCAGATAGTCTCATGTACACCTCCTTGTTCTGGAACCTCATCTTCAAGGCATTGATGCCACTGGATTCCGTGAGCACTGGACACCTGCGGAACAGTCCTAAGCTCATTGTGGACGCCAAGGCCTTATATGATGTCCTGGTGAAAGATGAGATCCAAGCAGCAACAGGGGCAGACAAGAGAACCACCATTGAGGCTCTTGTGTGTCGAGACAAGCTTTCATGCTGCAATGGAAAAGTCATGTGGGTATCCTCAGAGCTCCAGTACGCTGATGGTCTCACCAAGGATTCAGCAGCTGCTCTTCTTGGACAACGACTCCGATCTCATATGACAAGGCTGAAGAGTGACGAGACCGTCCAGGCTTCCAAACGGAAGAATGTGACCAACAGGAAGAAAGGTGAGAACATGTATGCCATCAGACGACCTGAGAGAGCATTGTTTGCAATGTTTGCGAACTACTTCCTGGACACCGTGAACGCTCTTGAAGAGAAAGATGGTAACTCCACGGGCACTATGAGTCACTATAAGGTGGAAGAACATGACCTGACTGACTACTTCGTGATGATCTTGATGATCATGTTCATCGGCGTGTTCACATGGCTCTTTTGGAGGTGGATGCAGGGTCCGAAGATTGTGATCCTTGAGAAGAAGTTCAAAGAGAATGATGCCCAGACAACTCGAACCGGACTTGAAGAACAAAGACTGGTAGAACTGCGCAAGGAGAACATCACCATCACCAAGCAGAACCAGAGATTGAAAGAAGAGTTGGCAGTGTCGGAACAGGCCCGACAAGATGCACAAAGAGAACTACGTGTGCTGGCAGAGGAGCACCACAGCATGAAGGAAACACAACAAGCGGACTTCAACCAGAAGTTCAAAGTGGCAGGACAACAGGCTTCATTCAAGCCAGTCTACCTAGCAAGCCAAGGAGGCTGCTGGCATGCATCGAGGGCTTGCGTTGCTCAGCGGACCGCGAATCTGGTCTACGAACGACAGCCGTGCAAGGCATGTGCCCATTTGTTCTTTGACAAATGCACCCCGACGGCATCGGGCGAGGGTGTTCACTGGGTTGGTGGAACCCATGGCACGTTGTTCGGAGTAGCCACCTCAAGTGAAGACTGGTGAGAAGTGAGAGGCCGAGAATTTAAATTTTCCTTTTCGAAATGATCTTCACCGATGTTGTTTGTGCGCCGCACAACCGGTGGATCTAGCATGTGCACTGAGTTTCCCGTGTGCTTGCCTCAAGATCAGGGCGGGCGCGCGCTTTACGATCGAGCAATGGCGGACTGAAAGGACGCGTGGCCGCGTCGACCGAACTCACGATCGAGGACCTCGTGAACCTCGAACCCGGTGACAGAAGCTTCGTTACCAACAAACAGTATATACAGTAAGTTGACAGTGGACAGTATCCTCTCCACAGCTGGGCCCCCGAGCTCGAGGGCATACAGCGCCATGGTTGGCACACTTTAGCTGGTCGGGCCACACGGCAGCAGTTACCAAATCGCATAGGCCAGGAAAATCATCTGACCACTCCTGGCGCAGAAATGAAAGACTACTGTAGCACCCTGCTAATCTCTGTTTGCATACAAGTGTGCCGCTGCAAAGGTTTTCACAAAACAACTGTGAAGCCTTATATTTTGCAGTTCTCATCCCTTCCACTACCAGATTTGAAGACTACAAAGACATCATAAGATTGACCGAACCCGTGGTTTCCTTAGCAGCAAACACAATACGTACGCGGCGACAACATTACACAAGTGTGCTTCAACTCAAAGGCCCTCATTGCAACCGAAACTGGTTGCGACCAGCTAGACACTGCTATTTACGCAGATTCATTCAATCCGAATTGGTCGAATGCGGTCATTTGTGTCGCTTGTCAGAATCTTCTGTTGGGAAAGCTGATGACTGGCTTTGTTATCGGGTGCAAGCGGGTGCTCAGAAAGATGCAGGAGTACTGAGTATTCTTGCTGGATGATGCCTGCATATTTAAAAAAAAACAAGATGGAGCCCACGAACCCGAATGCAAACACGATCGAAAAGCTACATATGTCCAAATGACACTCTTGTAGGACACTCTTGTGGGACACTCTTCTGGGACACTCTTGTAGGATACTCTTGTGGGTCACTCTTGTAGGACACTCTTGTGGAACACTCTTACAGGACACTCTTGTGGGACACTCCTGAAAGGCACTCTTGTAGGACACTCTTGTGGGACACTCTTGTAGGACACTCTCGTGGGACACTCTTGTAGGACACTCTTGTCGGGCACTCTTATGGGACACTCTCTTGTGAGACACTCTTGTAGGACACTCTTGTGGGTCACTCTTACACGACACTCTTGTAGGACACTCTTGTGGGTCACTCTTACACGACACTCTTGTAGGACACTCCTTGTGGGACACTCTTACAGGACACTCTTGTGGGTCACTCTTATGGGACACTCTTGTCGGACATTCTTGTGGGACACTCTTGTGAGACACTCTTGCAGGACACTCTTGTGGGGCACTCTTGTGGGACACTCTTGTAGGACATTCTTGTAGGACACTCTTGTGGGACAATTTTGTGGGACACTCTTGTGGGACACTCTGGTGTGACACTCTTGTAGGAAACTCTTGTGGGACACTCTTGTGGGACACTCTTGTGGGACACTCTTGTAGGAAACTCTTGTGGGACACTCTTGTAGGACACTCTTGTGGGACACTCTTATAGGTCTTGTGGGACACTCTTGTGGGACACTCTTGTGGGACACTCTTGTCGGACACACTTGTAGGACACTCTTGTGGGACGCTCTTGTGGGACACTCTTGTGGGACACTCTTGTGGGACACTCTTGTGGGACACTCTTGTGGGACATTCTTGTGGGACACTCTTGTGGGACACTCTTGTAGGAAACTCTTATGGGACACTCTTGTAGGACACTCTTGTGGGACACTCTTATAGGACACTCTTGTGGGACACTCTTCTGGGACACTCTTGTAGGACCACTCTTGTGGGACACTCTTGTGGCTGTGGGACACTCTTGTAGGACACTCTTGTGGGACACTCTTGTGGCACACTAGAAGCAATCCTGCGAGCGTTTCGTACGAGACGTCCTCCAAAAGTCACGCTTCGAGGCTGCACAAGACGAGCGTTTCGTTCGAGACTTTCTCCAAAAGTCACGCGTCAAGTCTCCAAAACGAGCGCTTCGTACGAGACTTCCTCCAAAAGTCACACGTCAAGTCTCCAAAACGAGCGTTTCGTACGAGACTTCCTCCAAAAGTCACGTGTCAAGTCTCCAAAACGAGCGTTTCGTACGAGACTTCCTCCAAAACTCACATGTCAAAGTCTGCAAAACGAGGATTTCGTACGAGACTTCCTCCAAAAGTCAAGCGGAAACACCCATCGGAGCACACACATCACGCAGCCCTGCCAAGCAGTTTCGCGAGTCCAGCCCCTCCAAACAATACCCCCTCACACGCCAATCCCAATGTGACAGCGACATTCACCTCTACCACAACTCACGACCTAACAATTCCCTGCGCCTGCCATGAATCTTTCCGCATCCACACGTCTAACGCGCACAAAGTACTGCGCCTGCCACGAATTGTCACCTCCGTCACACCTCGCAACCTCACGATTTCCTGCGCCTGCCACGAAAATCGCACTTCCACACCTCAAAATCAGCACAAAGTACTGTGCCTGCCACGAAAAGTGAGAAGATCATCTCACGTGAGCTTCAACAAAATTTGCACCACACCACACGTTTAGAATGATTTCGACCCGTTCTGAGCACACTCCCATCCACCAAAATCGCCATTTCAGCTCAGACTTGTAACGAAAACAGAGCTTCGATGCCACACCCTGAAACGCAAATCCCAATGGCACGGCCACATCCAACACCCCAAAAACACGACTCTCCAAACGCTAATCCCAATGGAACTGCGCAGTAAACTGCGGATCTCTCAAACCACTGCGCCTGTGCAGCGAAATGCATCACGCTTCTGGCGCGACATGTCATTTTCATGCAAATCACAATGGAATAGCGTCGCAAACTGACACGTGACACATCCATGAAAAGTCACTTGCAAAAGCTTCCCCCAATGGCAGCGCCTTAGCGTCCTACTGCGAACGGTTGCGAACGGTTGCGAACGGTTGCGGACGGTTGCGGACGGTTGCGGACGGTTGCGGACGGTTG